ATCTATCTATCTTTCTATCTTTCTTTCTACCTATCCATCCATCCATCCATCAATCAATCCATTCATCCATCAATCTATCTATCTGTCTATCTTTCTATCTCGTTCGCTCTCGCTCTCTCTTCCGTAGTAACTTGGGGAGTGCATACCGTCTGCAGGGTGTATCTGAACACGGGTTGATAATTGGACTGATTATCCACGTTATGGCGTGTGGTGTGTTGAGACCATGGTGCTGAGCCTTAAGCCTTACATGATACTGGTATTTTTTGTGCACTATTCCCAACTTGTGCTTGCATGGCCAGTCGTTCTGCTCCAGAGGCCGCTTCAAACTTGTGCTTGCATGGCCAGTCGTTCTACTCCAGAGGCCGAGGTTCTCCCAATTGTTAGGGAAACTGCCCCAGCTACGTGGCACTACAGAGCGCCGATCCCTAACCCAGTCTCCATGGTGAATTGGAAGCCATTTGAGCGGCCATCTCCCAGGACGAAAGGGGAACGTACTTCCTATGAACACACTACGGACCCTGCAACAGCGTCACGTCATGACCAGTGCGGGTAAGGCTCATTGTCTCTCTCCATCAATCACTCTTACTCTCTCATGACCTCTCTGCCTCACTTTGTTTGTCTTGCTGTCTGTCTCTCCTCCTCTCACCTGCTCTCTCTCTCTCTCTTTCTCTCTCTCTCTTTCTCTCTTCTCTCTCTCTCTCTCTCTCTCTCTCTCTCTCTCTTTCTCTTTTTCTTTCTCCCTCTCTCCTGCTCCCTCTCTCCTGCTCTCTCTCTCTGTATCTGTCTCTCTCTTTCTCTGTCTCTCTCTTTCTCTCTCTCTCTTTGTCTCTCTCTGTCTCTCTCTCTCTGTATCTCTCTCTATCCACCCATCCATCCATCTATCGGACCATCCATCTATCCATCCATCCATCTATCCATCCATCCATCCATCCGTCCATCCGTCCATCCGCCCATCCATCGATCCATCCATCCATCCATCCCTCCATCCCACCATCCCTCCATTCCTCCATCCCTCCATCCAACCACTAATCCGTCCATCCATCCTTCCATCCATCCTTCCATCCGTCCATCCATCCTTCCATCCATCCTTCCATCCATCCATCCATCCATCTATCCATCCCTCTATCCCTCTATCCCTCATTCCGTCCATCCTCTCATTTATTGGTGCTAACCGCTTTAATGCACTACCCACTATCATTCGATTCCAGCGTATTTTGCTTGCTTTTAGCGCTAGCTGCTCACAATTTCTCCTTGGGCACCCTGTAAGAAGGCTATAGGCTTGTTGGGTATACCCAAGTAAAATAATAAATACTACTACTTCTACTACTACTATATCCCTCCATCCCTCCATTCATCCATTCATCCATCCATCCATCCATCCATTCATCCATCAATCCATCCACCCACCCACCCACCCACCGACCCATCCATCGAACCATCCATCTATCTACCCACCCACCCTCCCACCCATCCATCCAACTATCCACCTATTCATCCATCCATCCATCCATCCAACTATCTATCTATCAATCTCGCCCGCTCTTGCTTTCTCTTCTGTAGTGACTTGGGAAGTGCATACCGTCTGCAGGGTGTATCTGAACACGGGTTGATAATTAGACTGATTATCCACGTTATGGCGTGTGGTGTGTTGAGACCATGGTGCTTAGCTTTAAGCCGTACATGATAGTGGTTTTTTGTGCACTATTCCCAACTTGTGCTTGCATGGCCAGTCGTTCTACTCCAGAGGCCGAGGTTCTCCCAATCGTTGGGGAAACCGTCCCAGCTACGCAGCATTACAGGGCGGCGATCCCTAACCCAGTCCCCGTTGTGTACTGGAAGCCGGCATATTAGCGGACGACGCTCAGGACGAAAGGGAAATGTACTTCCTATGTACACACTGCGGACCCTGCAACAGCGTCCCGTCATGAAGAGAGCGGGTAAGGCTCGTTGTCTCTCTCTCTCGATCAATCAGTCTACTCTCTCATAACTCATAACCTATCTGCCTCACTTTGTTTGTCTCGCTCTGTCTCTCTCCCTCTCTCCTGCTCTCTTTCCCTCGCTCTCTCTCTCTTTCTCTTCTGTAGTGACTTAGGATATGCATACTTTCTGCAGGGTGTATCTGAACTCGGGTTGATAAGTGGACTGATTATCCACGTGATTGCTTATGGTGTTTTGAGACCACAGTGCTGAGCCTTACATGATAATGTTTTTTTTTGTTTTTGTGCACTATTCATCACTTGCGCTCGCATGGCCAGGAGCTCTACTGCAGAGCCCGAGCAAGCAGCAAACTGTGACAACACGGCCCCAGCTACCAAGCATGATGAAGCGGCAATTGAGCGGAGCACCCCTTCAAAATTGTGGTTCGGATTTCCACCCTTTCTCTGCTGGCCTAGTTTCCCCCAGCCGGCTAAGCTTTCAGCGCACTTGCTTCCATTTCAGACCCTGCATGCTCGTCGCCGAGCAAAATGGTTCGCCATGTTTGCATTTATTGATGGATTTCCACGATCTATGGCTGGTTGGAAAGGCCTGAGCCAAGCGAAGACTCTCCTGGCAGTTCTCAGCTCCATAGGCATGCGAGCGTCACTTCTATGTGCTCTAGAAGAAGCCCTTACATGTCCCAGAATCGCTAAACAACTTCATAATACATTTTTGTTCGCCATCTCTCTCAAACTAAACCACACTTCACGATTAAACTGCGCTGCAAAGCTGGGATCCAAGTGCTGTTTTTGATGCCCCACACACATGCGCTGTAGCAAAGAGAAATCCCCTAAAAAAAAGCGAGTCGCGAGCAAAAAGTTTGAACTGATGGCCAGAAAGCGTATTTTTTGATTTTTGCAATTCTATTCGTCATCGCTCACTCAAATCTAGTCCTATCGCAAAGAACTTTATATCTCTGGAAAGCTGAGCTCAATACCTTTCCAACGGTATTATCGTTTGTGAAAATCGGCCGCCGTTGACATGAGTTACGACAGTTTGTACAGTGATATATGCCCTCCGTACTATTGCGTAGGCCGTAGAGCGAGATATCTCGTCATTAGCACTGAAAGGGTTATGGGCAGACTTGCCCGATCTCTGCATGCACGAGTCGCCGCCATTTTCTAGAATGCTCCGTGCGCACACTGCAGTCACGTGCCGTCATACACGGGTTTCTCATGGTCTGTGCTGATGACAGCGATTTGAGTGGCTTTTCTTGTTTGTTTTCTCTAAGCCATCCGCCGTACTGTTGCCTCGCTTGCCTGCCTGTACAAGCTGCACTACTTGCCTGGTCCTCCGCAGCTGCTCTCTGTGTTGCCACCGCGCCAAATCACCTCTACCAAGCCCAGAACTCGCAGCGGGCACGGTGCTGTCAGTGACCATGACCACCAGCTCCTACACCAGCTGCTGCATCTGCCCTGCTGGCACTGAAGCGCTCGTTCCCACACTGCAGCATCAGCGATTGGAACTCCCTCCCTGCCGCTCTCCTGTCCCAGCCTCCCCACAGGTAGAATGCAATCATTCAAAACGAATGTTTATCGCCATCTTCGCAGCACATACTGGCTCTGGGCAGTCGATTCCCTATGAATAGTATGATGCTATGATAGTTTCTCCCCCGCACTCGCTCGTGTCAAGCCTTGGGTTTTTGCATCTTTCTGTCCTGTACAGCTCTATCTTCTTCTTTCTTTTTCATTGTTGTTGGTGCGTGTTTTTGGCCGTGACGCCGAGACCTCAGGTCGGCAGGGTCATCAATGCCCCACCATCACTGCTGCATCTCGGTGCAGCGCCTGCTCATTAGTTGTCACGTTTGTCCTAGTCTCCGTACCATTGTCTTTCCTTGTTCTTTTCGAGCTGGTTATGTGAACATAGTAAAAAAAAGAAAAAAAGACGAAAAACATGCATATTAAAGGTTAAGCCTGAACTCAAATTTTCACCAGTTGTAGTCTTCGGGGTGCCGAGTCTTGGTCCGAGGAAGCTGAGATACTCCTTGAAAGTCGTCACCTGCTGGCGCGGTGACCAGGTGACTTGGGCACGCAGGAGCACGTGACCGCGTGTTCAACCATGTTCGATTTAGGAATAAAGGAGGAACGCTGCATCGCAGCATTCTCGGACCAAAACCAGTCGACTCAGCGTTCAAAAGACTACAACATATGGGCCAATCGCGGTCATCCGGGCTTTTATAAGAACGAAATGGCGCTTTTAGTGACATTTTGCATACAAATCGCCATCTAGCAGGGCGCAGTCACCCAGTTTCGGTAGAAGTGCGCGAGTTCGATTGGGAATAAAGGAAGAAGGGAGCGTCTCAGCTTCCTCGGACCAAGACTATTCGACTCGGCACCCCAAAGACTACAACTGGCGAAAATTTGATTTCAGGCTAAATTCCCCTTTTAATAGTGAATTTTTTCAGTCCTATGTTTCGGTTCTATGCTATGTAGGTTTTTGTATAGTGCATGTTTATAGTCCCTATTGGTTTCTTTCCTCACTGTTTGTCACCCCTACACCACATTATCCTGCTGCTGGTGCACATTGTGTATTTCGCGTTGTTTCACCTAAATTTTGTTTTTGTTTTCCCTCAAACCCGTGAACAATGCATATAAATCGTAGTAACTTTGTACTTTTTTAAATCTGAAAAATGTGTAGTTTGCGTGTGTAGGGCAGCATGGATTTTACAATAGTGCCCCAACCCACTACAGCACGAAGGTGTGCTTTATGTACTCTCGCCGTATGGCAAGGCTGGGAACAAGATGCATGCCAGCAGCAGGTTCGCAAATTCTCAAAGCACAACAACAAAATTAATTAAAACGGTTACGATCTTGCGCGCGCACAAGATCACAGAGATAAAAAGCATGGGGAGATCGGATGGCTAAAACTCTAACCCCGTTGGAATACCCTACCGTAGGGGGAGAGGGGGAGAGAGTATGTGGTACACTGCCCAAGCTAAAACACTAAAACAATACCAAACAATACCAAACATGCGGCCAGAATGTAGTTGGGAGGGGGGGGGGGGGGGGCAGGACAGTCCCCCCCCCCCCCTCCCCCATTGGTAATTGTAATGTTCCTGGTGATCGTGAAAATACACATAAGAAGAAAAAAACACGCACTTCAAGCAGAACAGTAGTCAACAACGAGCGAAGCAACACTAACTGGATGCGGAGAGGAGACACACAATCCTGGCGACTGCCCTACTACCCATTGCACAGTTCAGCATTCTTTAATCCGATTCTGAACAATAGACGAACACGGTTGTGCACTAGGTCCACATTCATCAAGTGTACAGAGAGTCAGTTCCATCAAACTAAACACGCATCAGCTCAACCGTGCGGCTACCACCCACACCACGAAACGGCAACAGTGATAGCATCATCGCTGCTAGGTTAACATTCATCAAATGCACAGAGAACTCCGGACTGATCCCCCGCTCAACACCTCCACCGCCGAGAGTGTGCAGAACTCTCACGACAGAGATTGGAGAGCACCTGGAACGGGACTATGCTGGCATACCAGATGGTGTTTGCATAGGATGCGAGATAACAATAGAGACACATGCTCTCTGCATTGTGAGACACATGCTCTGCGTTGTGCCCGGAAGCATGCCTTGCCTACAGAATGGGGAGTAGTTGCTATGCAACTGTCCCGCACTAAATCAACTATCGTTGTTCTCTTGTCCAGATTACAGTGGCCACAAAATGTTTGTGTGGTCATAAACACGATCAAATCAGCCCACCGTTGAACAACGCAGCGGATTACCGTGATCGCCGTGGTGCAGCAGTACAAGGAGAGAGTGTGATGTGCCTGTGAAGCAACTGACGCCTTGGTGCTGGGGTGGGCCCGACTGGGCAAGGTATCCGCCCGTGATCCGCACAGCAAACGTCACGGCGTCATGCTACGCATGCCGTGGCACCATGAGCCCTGTGTGAGGGCAATCGCATACCGTTTCAGACAACGTGCCCGAGGTCCTTGCTGCAAAATAGTGCTCGATATCCCCACAAGGGCAGAGCGGAGCGTACTACACAAGGCAGAACAACAGAGACCCACATCGTTCTTGCGACTCCAAGTTTCGTGCTCAAGAACACTCATACGCTCTGCCGTGTGCACCGTTTCAGACAGACGCTCTCGGAAGCTGCGGCACAGCAGCTGGGTGCAGACCAGGTGCAGGACTTCTCCGGCTGGCTGTTATCCACTCGGCTATTCAATACTGTTCTCTCTCAGACCACCAGTACTAGTACTTCCATAGTGTCACAAGCTCTAGCGCATCTGAATCTAGGACGTCTGTTGATGTGAGTTTCGGAAAGATCATATTGAGACAGCACAGAGACACCATGGATGCGGCGGGTTTGTATCTTTGGCAGTGCATGACATGCAATGAGCAGCAGGAAGATGGACGCCAGTACTATCCCTACTCTCCATTGAGTTCAGTGTGAGTCAGACGGAAGCACAAAACGTGGGTGGCGCCCATCATCGCGCCGCGGGCACGAGCGGCACGAGCGTAGACCAGCGCACAGCCCACTATCCAGCAAGGCAGTGAGCGCACTTTGCCCCAGCCTCCAATCGAAAGAGAGGCAGTGAACGTCCACACTACGAACAAACGCTACGATGCACGCAGGCACCAACTGGCCGCCTCCACAGCACGGCCGCTGCCACAGAAAAGATGAAACGGTAGTAGTCTGAATCCGAGTAGATCACTGCCCTGTATCACACAGGGGAGGGGGGTCAATGTGCCGACAGCAACTCAGAATTGCCAGCTCCACAGAACAGTAGATAGCTGGTAAGCACCTGTAGCTTGTACATGATACCACGGTATCATCAACCAAAACCTCAAAGTCCTGAAAAACCACACAAAATCAACACCAGGCCACGCAAAACGCACGTGCACACACGTGCCAGCCGGACATCAGCGCTTGCCCCACGGATGGAGTACGTGCGGTGGTGACGACGATGATGATGATGGCGGCAGGCAGCACAGCGCAAACCCAACACCGGGTTTACCTACACCACAGCCTGCTCAGCTAGATCACACAGTCGCCGCATCCTCTCCTGACACGGTGTGGGTGGCTGGTCTTGGTCAGTGGCATTGCTGCCGGTGCTGATCAAGCAAGGGCGCTTTCCCTTCGGCTCTAAAGATACGCCAGACCCTGTATCACCACCCTAAAAGACGCACAGAACATGCACACGCACACACGCACGCACACACACACACACACACACACACACACACACACACACACAAAAGCACTCATGAACCATCATACAGTGCTACTCAATGCATTTCACAGCCCAGTGTTCGCGGGTCTAGCAGGTCTAGCAGCAACAGCAGCAAGCAGGTCTAGGTCTAGCAGCAACAGCAGCAAGCAGGTCTAGGTCTAGCAGCAACAGCAGCAAGCAGGTCTAGGTCTAGCAGCAACAGCAGCAAGCAGGTCTAGGTCTAGCAGCAACAGCAGCAAGCAGGTCTAGGTCTAGCAGCAACAGCAGCAACAGCAGCAAGCAGGTCTAGGTCGAGCAGCAACAGCAGCAAGCAGGTCTAGGTCTAGCAGCAACAGCAGCAAGCAGGTCTAGGTCTAGCAGCAACAGCAGCAAGCAGGTCTAGGTCTAGCAGCAACAGCAGCAAGCAGGTCTAGGTCTAGCAGCAACAGCAGCAAGCAGGTCTAGGTCTAGCAGCAACAGCAGCAAGCAGGTCTAGGTCTAGCAGCAACAGCAGCAAGCAGGTCTAGGTCTAGCAGCAACAGCAGCAAGCAGGTCTAGGTCTAGCAGCAACAGCAGCAGCAGCAGCAAGCAGGTCTAGGTCTAGCAGCCACAGCAGCAACAGCAGCAACAGCAGCAAGCAGGTCTAGGTCTAGCAGCAACAGCAGCAACAGCAGCAACAGCAGCAAGCAGGTCTAGGTCTAGGTCTAGCAGCAACAGCAGCAAGCAGGTCTAGGTCTAGCAGCAACAGCAGCAAGCAGGTCTAGGTCTAGCAGCAACAGCAGCAAGCAGGTCTAGGTCTAGCAGCAACAGCAGCAAGCAGGTCTAGGTCTAGCAGCAACAGCAGCAAGCAGGTCTAGGTCTAGCAGCAACAGCAGCAAGCAGGTCTAGGTCTAGCAGCAACAGCAGCAAGCAGGTCTAGGTCTAGCAGCAACAGCAGCAAGCAGGTCTAGGTCTAGCAGCAACAGCAGCAAGCATGTCTAGGTCTAGCAGCAACAGCAGCAAGCAGGTCTAGGTCTAGCAGCAACAGCAGCAAGCAGGTCTAGGTCTAGCAGCAACAGCAGCAAGCAGGTCCAGGTCTAGCAGCAACAGCAGCAGCATCAACAGAAGCACCAGCAGCATCAACAGAAGCACCAGCAGCAACAGCACCAGCACAACCACCACCACCAACAACAAAAACAGCATCACCATAATCAAGAGTACATAACCCCCCAGAGTGTGCAACTCCACTATGGGTGCTGTCCCCACAGAATTTCAAGTTGACGTCATTTTGATGATGCAATGCGCACTGTACACGGATTATCAGACGAATCCGGAACCTGTGGTTGACCGAAGCCGATCGATCCTGTACAAGTTATTGCAAAGAAAAACGTGTGATGCGTTGACACCCGTACACATGTTGTAAATCACAGGTGCAAGGATCATTGCGTCATAAATAATGACGTCAACTTGAAATTCTGTCGGGACAGCAGGGTATGTGGGAGTTGCACACTCTGGGGGGGGGGGTTATTTACTCTTGCCATAATGCGACAACAGACATTTTGAAAGGGCAACTTACAGTGTCCATTGCTTCTTCTCCGACCGTTTTTCGTGATGTCGACTCCTGACCAGTGAGAGATGAAGTCATGCCAGAGCCACTAGTACCATGTGCTGCACTGGCACCCTCCTTCCCTCCTTCTCCTTGCTCACGAAGACCAGAGATGATCGGGCGGCAGCGAGCCAGAACGGTGCGTACCTTGTCCAGGTGTCTGCAAACACACACACACACACACGCGCGCGCGTGCGCATGCGCACACATAGACACACCACACACACACGCACCCACATGCACACACACATGCGCGTGCACACACACACACACACACACACACATTCCAAATCCGTATCCCACACAGCACATGGTAAAGTCAAGAAATAAAACAAATCTAGAGCATACCCCATGGCGTGCCATGACCACTGGCTACATATACAACTTGCAGTCAATCATGTCAGTAAGGACCTCGGGCAAAACAAAAACTCCCGGATAAAGACACAATCTTCAGATGTAGTGACTACAGTCCATTCATCGGAAACTGTCCCGCTGGCTTTTGAAAGTCCGATTTGGGCCGAATTGAGGATCAAAAACCCACTTAAAATCTCAAAAATCTGGGTTTTGGATCTGCTTCTCCACACATTTTGCCATGGCATACCCGTCCCAATTTTGTAAAACCTGCCTGAATTTCTATTTCCCTGTTCTTGGACTTTTCTGGCCTCAAATGTGGCTAGGAGTAATTGCATGGGTCACACAATGCAGGATGTACTGTTGTTTTCATGATATCTACAACTATGTGCGGGAGACACCAAAAAGTTAGGGTGCCAGTTTCCAATGAATGGACTGTAGTTGGCTGCCTACTTTCAACCTGGCGAACAATGACCACCCGTGAACCCGTGAACAGCGGTTTTCTCATGCACGACCGAGCGTCGTCCTTCGCAAGGCTAACTGAATTCACGAGCAATGCGTATTGGCGTACATTGCAGTACTCAACAAGAGGTGGAGGGCGGCTGAGTCATGCATTCCCATTTACTGTATAAGCAGAAATATTCGTCTGGAATTTAATTTCGTCTTTTTCGTCCAAGGAACTTTTGGACTAAATTAAATGCCGGACGAATGTCATTTTGTCCATCTATTCTATACACTCTTGTGATCCATGGACGAAATTTTCAACCGGACGAACTCCCTTTCTTTGGAGTTGGACGAAATTATTGACCGACGAAATTTTCTGCCTCTACAGTATCAGCAAGATTGCACGACACGCACATGATTGAGACATCGCCATCGCAGATCCCATCCACTAGGCGCTGCACACTCTCGGGTCACGTTCTCTTTCGGCCAGAGTGGAGCATCAAATATTGAGGGTTATAGAAATGGCCAGACTTGCATCACATGCCACCATACAACAGGCAACGTCACAAGACAAACGAAAGCACCGGATTAGAGGTGGGGAGCATGAGCGGGAGCTTACCCTTGCATTTCCGTGATGGCTGACTGGCGCTGTGTCCGCTGTCTATCCATCATTACCCGGAGTGTTTCACGGGCCTATAGGACAGGACCACACAAGTACACACACATTCACCATTGACCACCCTCTGACGCCCATCGCCGGAGGCGATGATAGCAATGCTACAGCGGAAGCCATTGCAACTTTTGCTGGGATTGCACCATTCAACAGCTTGGAAGGCTGAAGAATTGACCGCCACTATTCAGCCTGGTCTACACCACACGACTACAAAGCGGCTTTTTCTGGCCAGTGAATCTCTACTTTTTGGTCTTTTTCACTTTTTTTCTCGCACACATATCACATCACATACTCGGGCATGCACTGGCTGTTGGTAACCACCCAGGAGAATGAAAGAAAAGTCAGGAGTCTGAGAAAGAGAAGAAAAGACGCGTGTGACCATAATCATCGGGAATCGAACCTGCAACCTATCGATTGGAAATCGCTGCACATACCACTGCACCACATGGGACACATATCACGCACGCACACGCACACACACACACACACACACACACACACACACGCACACACACTCGTTGCAGAATTTTCAATCGAAGAGAAGTTTGTTCGCAGTGTATTCCCAACGTCACGAGAAATCTCCTCTTCTCCACCCTCTCAGCGAGCCTGAATGTCCTCCCGAGGAGACATCGCCTCTAGCAAAACGTTGCTGATCCGCTATAATTTCGTGCAGACTGGTCGTGGTGATAATGCGTAATTTTGAATCTGGAATACAAGTAAGTATTCAACCAGCTCTCCCTCATAGACACAAGCAGCTGATGCACAATAATCAAGGCTCTCACGTGCGGTTTTCATCGATGTTGGGCATATCACTTTGAGTTTACCATTCGGGGAGAGCGGATCAGCTTTGTTCGCTCTCCTGTCTATTGAGAATAAGTGTCGTAAACCATACTTAATCACCCGCAATGGTGTAATATAAAGGGATTCACGGAATGGATTCCACGACCAATGAGGAAGAAGCTAAAATCCGAAAGTCCTACAAGAACATAGTAGAGGTCCGCAAAAGGAGCAACGCAGATGGAATCTTTCTGGCAATGGTAACCTGCGGCTTACCAGAGAGCAGAACCAGCATTGCCAATACCTCAAAAGCTAACGACAATATCCTGACTGGGACTGGGCTGTCGTGGTGGTCACAAAAGAAAACTCAGCATCACACATGGCTCCCGTGAGCAGTGGTGAGTGCTCCCGACGTTTCCACGCATGCTTGGCTGTGTGTGACGGGTATGAAAAATTTCAAGAAAAAAAACTGACCGACCACGATGGGACTCGAACCCACAATCTTCTGATTCGAAGTCAGACGCCTTATCCGTTAGGCCACGCGGTCAGGATATTGATTGACTTCGGAATTGGAAAGCTAGTACACGAACTTGCTTTAGTGCTGCTCAATGAAATCTGATCGTGTGAATCAAGTTTGCCTACCCTGCACCAGTTTACACCCCGGTGCTGGCAGGTCTAGGGTTGGACAGCAACGTGGCTGATACTGTACTATGTATGTGAAGGGTAGGCTGGTCACCTAATTCTACATTACACCTGAAACCTGGCAGGTCTCTGGCACCGAAATTTTAATGCACCTAAAATTACATGTTATACAGTACCGTAAAGTACCGTTGATCCGCCCCCTCTCTAATTCCCGCCCCCTGTCCATTTTCTACCTGTGAAGCGATTCCGGCGTATACAACGAAATATGATGTTGAACCGACGCTTGCACTGCTGTACACAATATGTGCCAATCCAGGATGAAAATGTGCACAATTTAGCACATCGAGTCTGATCCTCCAAGTTGTTGTACATCGTACTGCACTTGACAGCCTTGATCTAATTCCCGCCCCCTGCCGAAAAACCAGCTGGGATGCGACATGGCGTGGGGGGGGGGGGGGGGGGCGGGCGGATCAACGGTACTTTAGGGGCCATCCGTAAATATCGATAGTTTTTTCAATCCGTGAATTTTACAAAGTAACCAGGACCCACCACCCACCCCCCTACTTTTTACGGAATAAAATATTGATGACACATGTACTGTACCTACATAAATGTAGGTGGAGTCCATGGAGTCCATACACACGCAGGCATGCGCTCACCGTGTCATTCATAACTAGAAGAACTTATCTTTTTTGGCAGCTGTACCAAACAAAGTAGTCTGCCGTGCCATTTTCGTTAAGCAGCTGTACCAAACAAAGTAGTCTGCCGTGCCATTTTCGTGAGGCCACGCTCCACATGGGAACTGTTCCAACCATTGGCGATGTAGCAATTCTTCGATGTGGAGGTCAAATAAGAGCTGGACTTGACCCGGATTAATCAGGTATTGTGATACTTCGAATAATTGTGCAATAATTATACTTGTGAATAATATCTGACAAACTTCCCTCTTTCTTTTGCTTCAAGAGTTTCGATCTCCACTACATTTTTTGGAGACAACAATCTACGTGTACGTGTGGTTCGACGCACGCAGACCCACGCACACGCAGTACTGGGCGCCAGGTCCGCGTGTCATCGATATTTTATTTACTTTGAATTTCGGCTGCACCCACCACCCAGGTACGAAAATTTCACGGATTGTAAAAACTATCGACATTTACGGACGGCCCCTAAAATATCGATGACACGCGGACCTGGCGCCCAGTACTGCGTGTGCGTGGGTCTGCGTGCGTCGAACCACACGTACACGTAGATTGTTGTCTCCAAAAAATGTAGTGGAGATCGAAACTCTTGAAGCAAAAGAAAGAGGGAAGTTTGTCAGATATTATTCACAAGTAAAATTATTAGGGATGAAACGATCATCCATTTCTTCTTATCGAGTACCGTTTATTATTAACGATCGAGTTATCATAAAACGAGTATGCTGAATTTGTATGACAAATATATTTTACTGGTCTCCGGGGAATATGTGCATGACACACCGGATCCCAAAAGTGCGAAGGTGCCTAGAAAAAGGTGTGAATTTTGTCACCTTGGATGACGCGTGCTGGAGTTGACTATGCAGACAGTGCGACTTAGCTAGTACTATGCACATGTACACTGCACATGTACAAGTCGTGCATACTCGATAACAGCATAACGAGTAGCGATCACAGAGATAACGAGTAAGTTCCGAGTAATCGGTATAATCGTTTCATCCCTAATAATTATTGCACAATTATTCGAAGTATCACAATACTTGATTAATCCGGGTCAAGTCCAGCTCTTATTTGAACTCCACATCGAAGAATTGCTACATCGCCAATGGTTGGAACAGTTCCCATGTGGAGCGTGGCCTAACGAAAATGGCACGGCAGACTACTTTGTTTGGTACAGCTGCCAAAAAAGATAAGTTTCTCAAAGAGCTTGACAGCCCTGGTGAAGACGACGATGGCTACTACGCCGTCATCGAGGCCTTGTGGACTGTTGAAACGTCCAATAATCGATCTGCGTTTTTCACCAAAGCACAGAAGCAGTGGATGGAGACGTTTTCCGCAGACCCGCAGGCAAGGTCGGAGATCATCCAAAAGGCCAATTCACTCAGAGAGAAGGACGGGCAGAAGCTAGGAAGTAGCATTATAGTCATACGCTGTATGGTTTCTTATGTATTCAGCAATGCATGTGCTTGCTGGATTGATTGCCCATAAAGGGTATGATGTATTTGGAATGAGCTGAAGAGCAAGTGATTCTTGGACAACATTCCTGGCATAAGTCTGCCAAAATACATTGCTGTACTCTAGTTATGAATGACACGGTGAGCGCATGCCTGCGTGTGTATGGACTCCATGGACTCCACCTACATTTTTTTATGTAGGTACAGTACATGTGTCATCAATATTTTATTCCGTAAAAAGTAGGGGGGTGGGTGGTGGGTCCTGGTTACTTTGTAAAATTCACGGATTGAAAAAACTATCGATATTTACGGATGGCCCCTTACAGCATTCACATGCTTGATTGAATTTCAGCGAGCAGCGCCGTACTTCACCAAAGCAGGAGATCAGTCCCAGTTTTCGATCTGAAATAAAAAAGCACACATTTGCTTGGTCGATTCTCAAAAGGAATTCACAGAAGCTTTTTTTTGCGATGCCCGGTGTGATGCGCGATGCCGAAATGCAACGAGATCTTGCGAAACACCATTCTGAGGAGAAGTCAGTGAACCGGCGTCGCATTGCTGATTTGCGCCAAAGCGCGATGCAAGGACGACCACTACCTGCTATCGGGTACAACTTACAACTGCTTTTCGGCATAGAAGGTCCAAATGATGCATCACGAAAGCTGAGCCAAACGCGCTGTTCTGGTGAATCCCGTTCTAGGTTGTAGCAACCAAGCCCGCCCTTAGTCGGGGGTCAAGGGTGACATTGCTACTTAGCTTTGCTCTTGAGCCCCACTACCAGCGACGCAGGGTTCCGGATGACGACAGGGTTCCACACCAACGTACCCACTCCTAAACGACGGAGCGCCAGCTGGAGACAGCTACCATCTACTCATCACCGTACCTAGGCAAAACTCTACTTTTAAAGCAGACTTCACCGCCGGTTGGGCCAATGTCCTGTCTACCATAAGGCTGTGGAAGTTGGACATTGTCGATAAAGAGGCGGCTAATTCCAATACTGTAAATCAACAAATATTCGGCGCATGTTTATTTTCGGCTACTCTAATTTCAGAAATTTTCGGTGCTCAATATGTTCAGTATGAGAGCAAAAAGCTAGGTTAGGTGAACAGAAATTTTAGGTACAGAGAAGCAGTTCCCTATTGGGTTACGTGTAGGGGTCAAAGGGGTGTACTGGGTACCCAGGTACCCGACCGTTAATCTCAGGTACCGTTAGTAAAAGGGTACCCGTTTGGATTTTGATGAACCGGTCAGTACGGAGCAACACTGCTGGGATCGTGTATTCCAGGCGGGAGTCAATTATTTACAACTCCACGCTGGATGTCTGCATTGTTTTTGCGTTTTTGCACCTAGTAGATCTACTCCTGCGACCATCAGACACCAATCGATTTGCGAATCACAATGTGATAATCAAAATGCAGCCCGAGAACAGATGAATTAAAATCTTGATTCATGTGAAAATTGCGCAAAAATTAAACATGGCTGCTAAAGGGTACCCGTTAACCCGCCCGTTAAGAAAATTACCCGTTCGTTAGTTAAAGGTACACCCGTTTGACCCCTAGTTACGTGTGTTAGTGTTTGTTCGGTGTATTGAAATTTTAGGTATGAAACAGACGCACCGAAAGTACCGAAAATAAAAGTACACCGAAAATTTGTGAAATTACAGTATTTCCGGCCTGATCATGTTTGGCCGAAATTAAATTTTCCAAGGTTCAGTGTGACAGTGTATACAGGCGGCTGCAGCAGTACAGGCCGAAAATTTGTTGCAGCCGAAATGAGGTTTAGCCTAGCCCTGGGAGGCCGAAATTTGAATGGGCCGAAAATACGTAGATTTACAGTAAGCAAAACAACCCAGGTGTGTGTTGGGGGGGGGGGGGGGGGGGTGTATACCAACTAATCGGTCAGAACCGTACCTGATGTGGTCTGTATTCATTTATCAGGTGATGAAGATTGATGAACAGCAAGCTGATATCGTTGACCTTCTCCTCCCTCTGTTTTCAGGTCGAGCATATGTGAGAACACATATGAACGGACAAACACACCCACACACACAAACGCATGCGTGCACGCACACACGAACGTGCGTGTACGCACACACACACACACACACACACACACACACACACACACACACACACACACACACACGCGCACACACACGCACACACACACAAACAGACACGCACAAACAGACACACACAGAATTAATACGATCATAAAAGGCAAAATTAATGAAATCACAAAAACGCCATCAGATCGTGAACAACACACTAGGAAGTCGGGGACATTGGTGAGCATGCTTCCCACATCAAATTAGTGTATGTGTGTGTGTGTGTGTGTGTGCGTGCGTGCGTGCGTGCGTGCGTGCGTGCGTGCGTGCGGGTGTGTGTGTGTGTGTGTGTGTGTGTGTGTGTGTGTGTGTGTGGTGTGTGTGGTGTGTGTGGTGTGTGTGGTGCGCGTGTGCGCGTGTGTGTGTGTGTGTGTGTGTGTGTGTGTGTGTGTGTGTGTGTGTGTGTGTGTGTGTGTGTGTGTGTGTGTGTGTGTGTGTGTGTGTGTGTGTGTGTGTGTGTGTGTGTGTGTGTGTGTGTGTGTGTGTGTGTGTGTGTGTGTGTGTGTGTGTGTGTGTGTGTGTGTGTGTGTGTGTGTGTGTGTGTGTGTGTGTGTGTGTGTGAGCATGCTTCCCACATCAAATTAGTGTGTGTGTGGGGAGGGGGGGGGGGGGGGGGGAACCAGAACGAGAGCAAAAGCCAGACACACGAATAGAGAAGGCAATAGCGTCAACATTGTGAATAACGACTTAGGGTATAACAGTCCGTCGCGAATAACAACACAATCTCCAGGTCTACTTGTAGTGACTATTTGATTGCATACTTTCAAGTAGTGCTGAGTCGGGTAGCATTTTCTTCGCGTATCGGGTTCGGAAAATTTTCCACGGGTAGCACAGGTACCCGATCGGGTAATGTTTTCATGGTAACACCACAATGCACCCCTTCCTTTACACACTGGGCAGACATGCGGAGTATTACATTTATTTGTACAAGTGCACTGTACTTGATGTCTTCTGCGACTTCGGGTTTTCGGGTACTATTCTCTACCCATTTACCCGAGGTCCTCACGGGTAGCACGGGTACCCGACTACCCGTGCACACCACTACTTTCAAGCTCACAAATAACGACAACTAGCACATAACAACAATTAATCATGCACGAGCGAGGGTTGCTATAAGCCCTGTGCACATTGTACAGACGCAAGAAATCTCGTAGAATCCAGTAGATCCAGCTGGGTGTTGAATGTGCAGGGCCCGATTGTGTTTTCTGCTACAGTTGAACATCGATTATCCGACCACCTCTGGACAGACAACTGTCAGGCGGTGTTCAGATAAGGCAAATGTTCCGGATAAGAAAAACTGTCACTCACACACTTTCAGTGGTTATTACTAGCCGCACGACCTTTTTACTTTTTACTTTTCAAAATTTTCGTATTTTTTGAATGGCTCACTACATGCACAGTGCGTACTCTACGGCACGTGCGCCCAAAAAAACTGTTACGGATAATCGAATGGTCGGATAGTCGATGTGCGGATAATCGCTGTTCAACTGTATTCCCACTACGAAACATGCCCTGAATGCATTTCACACAAAACCATTTTTCGGACGAAGATATGTCGCTTCTCTGCGGTTGACGTCACAGTATAAGAATTAGCAGAGAAGCAGTGTTCTCTGTCCACCCGGGAACGGGTTTGAGGGAGCACGGTGTGGGATAAAAGCGGGTGACGAGTGCAGGGTCGGCCTCTTTTGTCTTGTGCTATGCTGTGGTGGCCCCCACCGGCAATGTTGACGTGTCCAGTAGGTGTACACGTATGAGTGAGTGTGCGGATGTGTGCGCAACGAGTGGAGCGCAGGGTGGACAGAGGACTAGGCAGTCATTAGCTCTATTCAAAGTGATGAAGCTTGAAAGGCGCTCATCTGCCATTGATTATCGGGCTAACCTGGTCAAACACGCATGCAAGGCACACAATGAACACTCAACCGGCCATGTACAGACCTATGGAATTTTGGACATCTGTAAAACGTGCACAGGGTCTATTGGCAATTTTGCCGCTAACGACTAACCTTTGGACTACTGGGAGCCTGGATCAGAATTGCCAGCAAGTCCAGGAAACTCATCACGATGGACATGTTGAGCTTGCGCATTTCACTGATACGATCTGGTCGAACATGAAAGAGAGGACACAAACACGCACACATGCATGCACACACGCACATGCACGCGCGCACGCACACACACACACACACACACGCATGCGCACATGCACGTACGCACGCACCCGCACACATGCACGTACGTACACACACACACACACACACACACACACACACACACACACACACATCTCCTATCCATGTGTAACATGCTAGAATACATGTACAACCCGCCATGTTTGTGCATTCCACTGCATCATTGCGCTGACCATTCATGCGCCACTTCCCCAAGGTGTCAAGCGGTATAACTATATTTGTAGGATGTGCTTAGTCAAATTCTAATCTGTTCATTCTTCGGCACTCCGTTCTTCGGCACTCCGTTCTTCGGCACCCGGCAGTGGTGTAGAGGAGAGTGTTGAATGCTCACCAGTATTGCTGCTTGAGTACAACTGCTGAATACCCTGGCTGGACAATGGTCGTAGGATCTCCTCATCCACCTGCATATGCACACCCGTACACACGTGCACACACACACACACGTGCACACACACACACACACGCACACACACACACACACACACACACACACACACACACACACACACCGGGTTCAAGTCAAAGGAAGGTAGAAGAACACACAGAACGCTCCTACTCTGCTCTCATACATCCTGACCACCAGTGCACCAGTGCTAGGATCCTAGCACTAATGAACATACGTATCTCCCCCAGTCTATGTCCAAGTGACTATGTACATGTACGTGCGTTTGAATTTTCAAATTTCTCCAAAAACGTGACCGCGTGTACGGACTACGGGTCAAGAACTGTGCCCGTGTGATGACACGACCACCTGTTTCGGACGTAGATGTAAACGGGAGTCAGAGAACGTAGTGTGATGACGACCTTACGTGTCAATTGAAGCATATCTACTCTATCTAGTAAGTAGCCTAGTTATAGAATTCGAGTTTGCAGATCTTCCAATATCGTGTTGGGTGCAGAGACAAGCCTCTATTGACATGTACCAAGAAGCCAGGGGCAGATTAGTTCTGCAGAACAGGAATATGAGTTGGGCACATCGGCCTCTACGGCCTTTGGACAATCCTTAAATAAAAATCAATCAATTACATGGTGAATGGTCGCCGCATAAACAAGCGACAGAAGTCGAGCAACGTTAGAACACTTTTTTCATCCTCTTATTATTGTTTGACCTAGCTCTGCCTTTCGGTATTGACCACTCTATTGGACAGCCTGGAACACCTCTGCTTTTAGAAGTCGACCAATGCGTCGATGCACGACATGATCAGCCAGGTCAGTAAATTTACTCCGAAAATTTATTTTTCATTGCTATCAGGTTCGCTATCAGGCTCGGCCTCATTTTCCACTGTGCTGCGCTGATGAGTCCACAAAGGACGAAACAGTTCTGCCCGCAGATTTGAGTTTATAAATTATGATAATATTATTCGCAGATTGAGGATAATATTATTTCATCAATTTCGATCTACACAACTCACTTCCAGCGGAGCACCGAAACACGAGTAGGAGCCACTCGGAATCGCCGGAGGTTTCGGCGCAGTCCCATTCGCCACGGCATCGTCCGTGTACGAGCTGTAGTATGCTACTGGTGGTGGTGGAAATGATGATTGGGCTTTGCTCTCCTCTCCCATGATTTGAGGACGACGAACAAAACGCCACTGGATGATTCAAAGAAAGTGGGTGCTCTCCAGAACGCTCCTGCAGCGTCTTTCCCGTGGGCAAACAATACCTATAGGTCAGAAAGACTTCTTGTTTCACGCTGCTTAGTGTTGTTGAACACCAACCAGCGACGAAGAGGCTTCACAATTGTTATACCATTTTCAATTATTTTCTCAGAAGATGACTGTTTTGATTTTTTCTTTTTGCTTTGTTTGAAAATGTTTGCAACATAAAAAAATCGATCAGGGAATTGTAAAAAACCCAAATCACCGCCAAATCAGGGTAAAGACGCCGGTAAATCGATAACCTATGCGTTTCATTGTGAATCTCACTGTGACTGGACAGCGCTGCAGCATGCAAGCATGCAACCCGTGATCGTGAGTCGTAGATTTACCGTAGCGTGCCGCGATTCGTACGAAACTCGACAACCACGTGTAGTCTCTTCCCCCCGGGGCCCGGCCCCCCGACCAGCGTTGTACACTGTTCTTGTACATGTACTAAGTTAGTAAGCAGTTCCGTACCGGGGGACAGGGACTCCCGGGTAGTACAGTACGAGCCCACAAGTTAAGTACAAAGGCTAGAGGACAAAGGTCGTACAGTGGCTGCACTTCACGAAGGTCGAAGAAGACCACGACCAGCGAAAGAAAGAAGCATTCACACGCGTGCACGGAAAATTGGTTTTTCCTTTCTTCATTCCCTGCTCATGAGCTGAAGTAAGTTTCAAAAGAAAATCTCCGTTAGCTCAAGGAAATGCGGCGAAAGAGCCCAAGGAGGCACGCGATGGCTGTCACCTGGCCATGCCGATGACGCTATCTGCCAGTTTGTGAACGAAGACGGCACCCTGCGGCATTGGCCTGCCAGGCCTGGGCGAGTTGCCGGCAGCCGGCATGAGACCCAGGCAACGCTGCTCCCTTGCGCCAGAGGGCTTGAAGCGGAACAATGTGAACTGGCAGGACGTGAAACTGTAAGAGAAGGGTCAAACTGTGGCGGGCCCGGCGTAGCCTCGCAGAGCTTGTTTGCTTGACCCCTGCACCCCCCCCCCCCCCCCTTCCGAAAAATCAGGGAGCCGTACCCGTATAGCTTTGCTTGTACGAAGACGATGAGGGCGATTGGAACGTGAACCGATGTGGGCTTTTGCAGTCGCGCTGTCTGTTCCCGACACTGTTGGGCTAGGGCCGATTTATGCCAAGCTGGCGCGAACTCATGTGCATGCACACGCACGCATGCATGCACACAGACACGCAAACGCACGCGCACAAACGCACGCACATACACACACAACACACACACACGTGAGCACGCACTCAAACACCCAGCAGATGCATTATACAGTCAGACCTCGCTTATCCGGTCCTCTTTTATCCGGATCCCTCGCCATCCAGAAGAAAATAGCTGGTTACAGATCTACAGCATACGCAATGCGTCCTACATAACCGGTGTTCGGTTATCCGGTTCCCTCGCCTATCCGGACATTTTTTGCGGAAAACGGATGTGTGCGGTTAAGCGAGGTCTGACTGTACTTGCCTCGCTCTGTATTGTTCCTATCTCCACACAGGCTGGAAACACGACGCTACAATTTCCTTCTAATTGCCAGCGTGCTGATCACCCTCGCACAGCACACGGTTGGACAAACTACAACCTCCACAACAACCACAATAGTCATCAACACCACCAGCAGCAACGCCACCAGTGCTACAGATAGCAGTACAGCTGCATCAAGAGCAACACCAGGCCAAACCCAGGCCACTTCAGCCGTGACGTCGTGCGTCTGCCCCAACATGGTCGCTACCCCGGCGCGCACCGACAGCGACTTCTCGGGTGAGTTACCTGTGGTGCGTGCTGGAAGAGTTGAATCTCTAATCAACCGGGGGCACAGTGCGTAGCGTCTAACGGGGCACAACGTGTAGCGTTTAACGAGAGAGAAAATCCATCACTAACTCAAGAAACGTTACTGGTATGCTATCCCTGCTCTTTTCTGTACTAGAGAAACTGAGGACGGGAGTGTGATGGCAGGGTCGTTAGACTTTGTACGCGCCAAGTGGGAACAGTTTGCAAATCGTTAAACTTTGGACTCGTCACACTTTCACCTCTTACAGTACACTATTCCGTCCATTGATTGGAAACTGGCATTCTAACTTTTTGGTGTCTTCCATGTATAGTTGTAGATATCGTGAAAGCAATAGCACATCCTGCATTGTGTGATCCGTGTAATTACTCTTTGCAGGAAAGTTCAAGGACAGAGAATTAGAAATTCAACAAGATTTAGGACAGGTATGCCATGGCAAAATCGGGCTTTCGAAGCCAGCGGGACTATTTTGGATGACTGGACTGTAGTGATTTGCATGAGCCCTCCAGCGTTTTCTAGCGTACATAGGGGGAATTCCCATTGGTCACATGACGAGGCATGTGCCACTCTGGTGAATGCGAGGGGTGGTGGGTGATGGGACCGTCAGATTCAGACCCGGCAGGGTTGATCAGGTATATGATTAATTTGGTCATGTGACCAAGGGAACTTCCCTAGAAATCCGGTGTGGAGAGCACTGTGAGGTCCCAGCAACAAAGAAACTGGGATTACATATAGCTATGATGAATTCGAATACTGTAAAAGCAGAAATTTTCGGTGGTGTTTTATTTTCGGTAACTTCGGTGCTGACAATTTTTACCGAAAATAAAACGCACCGAAAACTTCGGTACAACCTGTGCTGTATACATGTAGTACTAGTACACTTACCTGGAAAACGGGTTTTACCGAAAATTTCCCTCCACCGAACTGCCGATTTTGGAGAATACCGAAAATATTACACCACCGAAAATTTCTGCTTTTACAGTAGTTGCGAACGGTGGCGTCATCTTTAAGAGAAGATGACGATTTCAGTGAGTGCGTTCGATTATGCCCGCGAATTGATTTCATGAATAGATTCGCGCTGTTCACATCACCCCATGTGAATAGGGTGAATGGATTCCGAATCAATTCCAGGGCTCATGACATGAAATCGAACAGCCAGATTCCATTTATGAATCGATTCAAGTGCATAATCGAACGCAGCCAGTGAGAAGTCCATGTTGAAGCGAAGCATTACAGGATCTGTGTGTGTGTGTCCGTGTGTATGTGTGTGTGTGTGTGCGAGTCCATGCGTGTGTGTGTGTGTGTGTGTGTGTGTGTATCTATGATGTGTGCATGCCTGGTGTGTATGTGTGTGCATGCCTGGTGTGTATGTGTGCATGGATGTGTGCGAGTACATGTGTGCATGCATGCGTTGTGCGTGTGTGTGTATTTACGTGTGTACGTGTGTGCATGCGTGTTCATCTTCCTGTGTGTCGATGCGCTTGCCTCTCCACTCTGTGTTTCTCAGGCCTGGGTGCTAGCCAAGTGCTGATCATCTTGCTGGGTATCTGTTCTGCAATTTCCCTATTCTTCTACTTGGCCGCCCGTAGACAGCGGTCAGATGAGCGTCTCTTCACGCCGTTGATGTCACGAGAGGCAAGCATAGCTGTCAGAATACAGGGCCACAGCCAAACCCTGCAGCAGCAGCAGCAGCAGCAGCAACAGCAGCAGCCACTTCACACGTCAGACTTTGCCGACAAGCGGGCAGAGTCGACAATCCCGCACACTGACGAAGAAGCTAAATCGAGCAAGGGTACGTCACAATAATAAAATAATTCGCTCCGCATTGTGCTCTCGAGACGAATTGATCTTTCTCACACACCTTTATTCCCTCAGTTAAAACCTCCTCGTCTTTACCCCAGGGAATAATTTACTTTTTATTTCTTGCGTAGCAATTTTGCTATGCAAAATCAAACTTGAATAGCAATTCAAAAATGTTGCGTTGCAAGTTTCTTCAACACTTGACAACGTTATCCTTCTGCAGAGCTGATCAGAGAGAAAACTCAGACTACAAAAAAAAAAAACACTGTAACACCTTAGTTGCAAACCTAACTTGGTGCCACGATGCATAGCTCAGCACTTTCGAAGTTTCGTGCATCTATAATTTCATCCCTTAGAGACACAGCTGGCATACACACTGTGCATCACAGGGTACAGTGAACAATCAACATGCATCGCAGTTTTCTGCGAAACGTTTCTGAAGTTTCTTCGTACCTCAGAAGAATTGCGTAGCAAACTGCGATGCGATACCGGTTAAATTATTCCCTGTGCCCATTTCCTCAGTGTGGGAAATCTTGGCCCTTTAAAATATCCACCATATGTAGGAGTTGCATTATTTGATAAAAAGTATATTTTTCACAGCTTAAGAGTATTTATTTTGCACACTCACACCTCCCTTAACCGGGTGGGCATGGGCCGGGCAATGCTCATAACTAACTTGGAAATGTCTGTAACTCTGAGAATCACGTACGTTTTGATAGGGAGGAGCTACAGGTCTGGCATACGACGTCACTATTTCCACAAAAGTTGACAAAAGAGTAGTAATATTTCCACTAAAACTTGGCAAAGGAGTGCCCAGTAGTAGGCATTGGCGGATAATGCTCGAAAAGGTGGCAGATTCTGCTCGAAAAGCAGTGAAATTGGCAGAACCATACAAACCTTATGGCGGGCAATTCCTCGAATTCTGCTCCATTTCTGTATCCACATACCAAACATGCATGAAACTTACCGGAGAAGGTACCGAATTCTGCCAATTTTTCTGGCGGCATTATCCGCAAAGGCCTACCCAGTAGACTGAGGTGCCCGTAACTTGAAGATCCGGATTGGAAAGATATGAGTGTTTTATAGAAGAAATTCCAAAATGAAAGCACTTTTGCATAGCAGTTTCTTGGGTCCCGTGGTTTTACCGGCAGGACGGCGTGCAAGCTATCTCTAATGTCCGTGTTACTTCTGCTTCCGGTGCTGTTATTGTTTGGTGTTTGTGACTGCAGATCGGAGGACAAGCTCTGCGCCGGCAGTCTTTCAGAATGCGCTGGATCCAACCTTCAGCCAGTGTCATCAGGGACCGTTCGGCCCCGGTGTCTTGGGCACGACGAACACCAATGGCCAGAGCAGCATGCTGACGGCCACCGTTGCTCGATCCAACTCCGCCGCCGCCAATAGAGAGCCACCGCCCGGACAGTGCGGAGGAGTCGGCAGTCCCGGTCGACGGTGGTCCATCGCCAGCGGCAACATCATACAGATGCCGTCGCGTGTCACGCTCACAGCTCCATCATGCCCGGCCTCGCCGAGCGACTGGCCTTCCAAAGTTGGCAACTCGTCGCGTCTCTCCCTGCCAGCCACGACGGGCGTCTGTCGTACGCCGGAGAAGAAGGAACGCCGCTACTCGTTCGAGAACACTCTCTCCCCGCTGCACTTCGCCGAGACTCCAGGCCACGCGTCCGTGTTTGAGCGCTCCGAGTCGTCGAACCCGAGACGGTCGCAGTCACAGCGTATGCCTCACGCCGTGCGTCGAGACAAGCCGGCAACCGGCGCGGTGTCGAGAAAGCAGTCGCGCTCGCCCAGATTGTCCATCACGAAGGTGAGGATACGTCGCGATGCGCGTACCAGCCTTCCCACGCCGTCCAAGTATCGCACCAGCAACAACCCTGTCGCAGTCGGAGGCCCCGCCGTCGGGGACGGAAAGGTAACAATGCGTTCAGGCAGTAGTAAACGCTCAAACAGCCAGCAAGCGCAACGAGTTGGAGGTGAAGGTCGACGATCTACTCGGCCGAGTCTGCGTGTTTCGAGTGCAAGCATAGACCGGGCATCACAGTACACTGGTAGTATTTATAACTACTCAGACTGGAGAAATAATGATCCGGATCCGCTGGATTTGTTGGATCCAAGACAGGATGGTAATCTGTGATGCTCGCTACGGCACACTGACGTGTAGCGTGCGAACATGGGTTTCTGATGCATGCTAGAAGCTGTGTGTCCACGGGATGGCCTCAGCCATGCCGCGTATAGTGTACAGTGTGCGTGTTTGTTTGTTTGTGTGTGTGTGTGCACGTGCATGTGTATGTGTGCATGTCTGTGTGTTTGTGTGCGTGGCTGTGTGTGTCGGCGCTGAATGTGTGCGACGTTCGAGTGTTTTTTGACATCTTTACTTTTAAGGGTTTGGAGTTGCATTAGCCGAATACACCCGCAGCGGTGGTGACCTGTCTCTACGGGAAACTGCTCACATTGTACATCATTCTGCTCTGGCCTGTATGCATGTAGCTACAATAAGAACTTTTTTCTTTTTTTTAAGTACGAGCCAACTGTACATGAAATGTTATTTGACCCTGTTGAGATTGCACGGATGTATTTGTAAAATATGAATGGCCTGCTGAGTGTCAAGGTACGGTTGAGTCATATTGCAAGCTTGCAAGCAGGTAGTCGTGAAAGGCCCTAGCATGTACAGTCAGGCCTCGCTTAACCACACAGACATCCGTTTTCCACCAAAATATCCGGATAGGCGAGGGAGCCGGATAATCGAACACACATACTGTGTGTATGCATGACCTATGCTGTAAATCGGTAACTAACGATATTCTTCCGGATGGCGAGGGATCCGGATAAAAGAGGACCGGATAAGCGAGGTCGGACTATAAACGCAACCCGCCCTGTTTGCAACTGAGCTTCGCGCCCATGCCGCAGCAGCGCCATACGATAGACCACAGTGGGCACAGGAACTGCATGTAGCTGGGCACAATTGCTGTACACGCTCAGCTGCGTTTGCATCACTTTGTTGTACATGCAGTGGCACTATACCCGTATAAGTGGATGCGAGTGAGTACGTATACTGTAAAAGCAGAAATTTTCGGTGGTGTAATATGTTCGGTATTCTCCAAAATCGGCAGTTCGGCGGAGGGAAATTTTCGATAAACCCACGTTCCAGGTAAGTGTACTAGTACTATACCGACATTTTCGGTGCGTTTTATTTTCGGTAAAAATTTCGGCACCGAAGTTACCGAAAATAAAACACCAACGAAAAGTTCTGCTTTTACAGTACTTGTACGTGCAATGCGCGATGGCATCAGTGCATAACCCCACAATGTATAATATTATGGCCCGTCGTTGCGGTTTTGCGCGGAAAGGGCTCACAACAGACTTCATCGTGTGCACCTTCGGAGGAGATTTCCTGAATTGGTTCAATCGAGTTTTGCATGTTAACAGTCATTTCCGGGGTTGGGATGCATTGAACTTGTGATCTGCAATACAAAAACTCAACTCTGATTAAAATGTTGAGGAGAACTCACGCAATGTACCGAAGCTGTCAGGTTGTTTTGAATCGGAGAGTCGTGAAACGGTATTTGACGACTCCCTGTTTTCAGTCCTCTGCAGCAGTGGATAGTCGCTTTGATCACATGCAGGGGTTGCATTACGCACATCCGTCATCGGCAACACACCATGGCTGCATAGCAATCATACCATGCAGTTTTGCCTGCATGTCTAAAAGCACATCATTTTTGATTATTTAAAAGTAACGCTATGAAACAAATTTTAACTGTGCCGTCATGTCTGCATACACTAAACCGCTACTGTAAACTGAGAAACTTTCGCTAGAGATTAAATTTTGACTTTCTTAAAGTAGTTCAAAAGTGCCCCGTTCAGGCCACAGCTAGACACGGACCAAACATGCATTTACACTAGACTGGCATTGGATGCATATACACGTACACGTAAACAAACGATCATCTGCGCACATGTGCACAGACACACACAACCACATGTTCGAACACACGGCAGTCCCAAACAACAACAATCGTATTGGTTTCATTTCTTGAGAAAAAAAGGCTGATTCGCTGCTAACAAGAACCAAGTGCAAAAAAAGCCTGCGGATGGTGCAAGAAGACAAATGATGGGAGTAAGGCAGGAGAGAGACCCCGGGAGGCAAATAAAAGAAGAGGAATTGAAAAGGGTGCTTATGGCACAAGCACCGTTCCAGCTCATTCTGAAGGACAGGGTAGCGATATTGCATTTGGGCGTGTAGGCAGGCTGTGCTCGGAGTGGTTAAATATTGTGCAAGTGAGCGAATGAAAACAACGACAACAATCTTGCAAACTCTTCTGACGTCTTAAGAAAAAATAATAATAATAAAGGGAAATTCAGGGTCCGAAGCAAGCTCGTCAACCAAGGGGAAGACGAAGATATCTGTGAAAAAGTGGACAGATAGCGAGCTAAGGGAGAATATTGGGGCAGACGAGGGGTGACCTTGCGATAGAAAGAGAGGTGAGAGTCAATCACGGGCAGCAATATAAACAGGCTAAGAAAACCTGCCACTGCCGATGGCTAAGGTACAGAGCGAAAGAAAACATTAACAATTAAACCAGGACGGGGGGGGGGGGGCAATAGGGAACATGGATAAGGAATGAGGCGGGCGGGGAATAAAGAGAAAGTCGACCAGACCAGACACAACATTACGTGCTGGCTAGCAGAAGTAAAACTAAAAATAGCAATAAAGAATGAAAAATGGTGACCACGATGTGAAAAATAGTGAGTAGAAAGTAGTGCAGGTATCTGTGATCTGTAATGTGAAAGATAGATATGTATATTAATAGACAAATATATGTACAAATAGAGAGAGAGAAAGAGAGAGAGAGAGAGAGAGAGAGAGAGAGAGAGAGAGAGAGAGAGAGAGAGAGAGAGAGAGAGAGAGAGAGAGGAAAAACAGAGAGAGAGAGAGAGAGAGAGAGAGAGAGAGAGAGAGACGGAGAGAGAGAGAGAGAGAGAGAGAGAGTCAGTGAGAAGGTGAGTGAGGGAGAGTGACAGTGGGAAAAGGGGGTGCCCATAAAAACTATACAACGACGAAAACGTGGTGCAGTGAAGATAAAACCAGTGAGTTGATAAATACACAGACGTGGGCAAACTAATGGATAAAAAAATTCAAAAACGGAGCAGACTAAGACAGACAATCTCTGGGAAGAAGCAGTACAATGACTATACAATGACCGAGGATGACCGCGGGGGAGGGGGGGGGGGGGGAGGGGGAGGGGGAGGGGGAGGGGGAGGACAACAAGGGAAGAAGATTCACACATATGCAATGAAACAGGGAGTGCGATATTGCAGGTTAGGGTGAGTGAGTATGCCAGTAGAACGTAACGGTGAAATCTGACGTGCTTGCGCAGATATGTGCACATCACGGAATGTCAAAGTGTGGTTAGGAAAAAACAAAGCAAACCAATTGTAATAATACCGGCTCCCTAAGAAGCTGTTGGAGGGAAAGAGAAAGATAGAGAGCTGTTGGTACAGCACTAACACGGTCTTAGGCAACATTCATCTCTAGTCCTACTCCAGCTGGTAACGTGGTCCATGGTTGGTAATGGACGGGGGGAAAGCTAGCAATGCCGGGGTCCCTTGAAAACTCTAAGCAGCGCATGGCATACATCAACACATCCCAACGTCACTGACACACAGGCAGCACGGATTCTTCAGTGACAACACAACAGGCAGGCAATAGGCGTACTTACAACACTGCGGGCTAGAGCTCACACGTGCCGATGGCCGTTTGTATGGTGCCCGTCGGCGGATTGCAAGCATCAGAACATCAGTAGGCGGCCGTGTGGTTTGTGGATGTGTTGCCGCTGCTGCTGCTGTCGCTGCTGGTGTTGAAGTACGAACGACGGCTTGCCATGGAGTTTCTCAGGCTATAAGTGTCGGCGGAGTGGGTAGCAGATGCGTCGATGTCCAGTTGGCTCACGGCTTTCACCCAGAACGAATCGCAGTTGTACGGCTTGCCAGGGCTGGCGGAGTCAGGAGACATGAGTGGGCTCGTCGAGGGTGACGTGCCCACACCGGAATCGTCCGACGGCAAGAAGGACATGCTGTCGTCCCAAGTGCTGCTGTTGCTTAGCGACACCGTGGACCAGAGAGCAGACTTGTCGGCGCACTCCCTCGCTACTGATGCACGTGTTGCGTTGGCGGCCTCGACTTCCCGGTCGGCCGTCGGCTTGAAGTCGAGCAGAGAAAAGCGCCTCCAGCTGCCAGGCATGCCGTAGGATGGCGGTGGAGGCGTGCTCGACTGCTGCTCTCGGCGCGATCCGTACTGGATGGATGAGGGCGGTGACGGACTTCGTGAATGCATCATTGCTGGCGATGGTGAGGGGGTGCTGGGTGAAGTGCTCCTCAGCGGCGGTGATGGAGATGCCGAAGATGTTACCGACGGCGATCGCGACGACTCGGTGGACGAGGAGGAGGAAGCAGAAGACGAGGGCGATGATGATGACATTTGCTGCTGTTGTTGCGGCGGTTTCTGATTGTTCCAGCGTACCAGCGACTTGCTCACCTTGTTCTTGTGCTGTTTCCTGTTCGACTTGTGCTCCTTGGGGCGGAGTTGCAGGTGCTGCTGTTGATTCTCCTGCCACAGAGACACGACCTCGCCGCGCTCTCCTACGCGGTAGCTGACCTCGCACGGATCCACCCAGATCGTTAACCACAGTGGCAGCTGGTCGCGGATCGTGCCCAGCGCGATCTGGCTGCACTCCGCCGCCGCGACGATCGCCGGATCCAGGACACCGGGAGACACCAGCAGGGCGCGATAAGCGCTGGCCCTCTGCGAGTTGGTCGGGTACCAGTGCCCAGTGTAGTTCTTGGTCAGGATGTTGGACAGGTCTCGTTTGAAGGCATCAGCTTTCTCGCGGTCCAACTGGCTGTAACAATACGACAGAAGAAAGTTGATGGCGACGTCTATTTCAAGAATCATTGTCAACGCTACTAGGGTTTTTGTTGCAGGGAGTTCCAGACGTTCACGGAGCAACTGGCTTGCACGAAGAAATTGGCCACAAATTAGTATGAACAAAAAAAACTGCTGGAAACAAGAGGGTCAATGCTGCTAATCAGAATGTTGTACACAGACTCGTGGACATCCACAGGTAGTAAACTAAGCTCGCACGAGGACGATGGACACACGGGAGGAGAGAGGAAAACACATTCACACACTGAGGAGGAAAGGAAAGAGAGACAAGAATAAAAGCCCACCGGCAACCCACAGCATTGAAAGCTTTATGGGATTCAAGGCCTTGTTAGGTGCTCGTGAGGAGTAGGAAACACAGATTTTGTAGTACTCTCTGGGGAAAGCTGTCAGCACGTGTGGCTCCTGCTTCGACCATGTGCACCTTTTTTTGCATACGGATCAGGGTTTCCCCTTCCCGTTCACCGTATTCGACACCTTTCACGCGGTTTCCTGATCTTCGGTGTGGGTTTTTGGGCACTGTTCGGGACTCGTGCTGCACCGTACCCGAATTTAGGCGATTTCCTCGTTGACCCGGACTCCTTTCTCGTGTAACCATTGCACATTTTTGGACACCGTCGACTTGCTGACACACCTTTTTTTTTTGGAAAGTGCAAAGTACATGGAAGAGGTACGACAGAAGGGCTCTTTGATTGCGACAAGCCCTCGAACTCGTAGATCTACGGCGTTTGCGCGCAATGTGTACCAATTTTGGTCTACGAGATCGGGAGCGCTCCCAGCTCCCATGCCACCCGGTCCCGAAGTGATTGGGGGAGCGTAGTACACGAAGCTTTGGTCCTGCAAAAGGATGCTGGTGCTCCTGTTTTTGGCTCAGAATCTTCACGAACCAATCCCGGTCGCGACTCTGGAGCTGGAAAGAATTCCGGAGGAACCGGAAGAGTCGAAACGCGTCCTTATCAGGCTAGGCTATGCGGTGAAACTATGGAGCGACAGCGCAGCTAGGAGCTAGGAGGGCCTAGGCCTATCAATACTTTCGTCGTGAATGCTGTCGAGCAGGGAGCAATGCCCAAGCTATATTTGGTTTGGGTACGACTAGGCTTCGAGCCTCTCCACAATGGTCGCAACCGTTCTGAGCCCGCATGGTATCGAACGGACCCGATCCGAGAGTCGAGGGAAGCCAGCTGTTTGCATGCTTTCCACTGCACTGGGCTAGGCGTGGAGGGCTTGAACACTAGTGGCCCTGGGCGATTTGGCAGGTTCGAATGGAGCTCTGGAGTTCCACAGGTCGAAGCGGAGAGGCAGGAAAGTAGCCTGAAATCGTGAAGAAGAGGGTTGCTGTGAAGGATGTCATGTCAGCAACGGCCACACAGTGTAAGTTATCCCTCTCGCTTTCGGCTTTGTTGCATTTTGTTGTTTTCCTTTATAAAATGTTTCTTTCAATAAAATACTCACAAGTTGGATGGAGTTGAAAAAGGTAAGAAGTCTGAAGAAAAATTGACTGCCACCACCACGATTCGACGCATGGCCCTCGCTTTGGGCCAGCGCGATCCGGTCACATACCACAATGCAATGATATAGATCTACACGTGTAGTCATCATTTCGGCAGAGAGCTAGCAGTCAACATTTTTCTTCAGACTTCGAAACTCATGCCCCATGTAAAACCACGCAGGCTGGTATATACCGGGGCGGTAGATCTACTACAGTCCATTTCAAAAATATAGACGCATGGTATTTTTGAAATATTTCAAATTTGGCTGGAGCTTTTCGAGAATTTTTTCGTATTAAATATTGCTCAGATCCTTCCCCGAATACTCTCATAGATTTTTTAAGCGATCGGATAGCAAACGCCTAATTTCGAAATTTTTGTCCACGAAATGATCAACGATTTTTTGTGGTATAGCTGCTGGCCTAACGGTTTTTTGAAATCGTGCGTCTATATTTTTGAAACGAACTGTAGGACACACGCTGACTAGCAGCATACACCGAGGGAGCAAAGACTATTAGCAAGAGTACATAATCCCCCAGAGTGTGCAACGCCTGATCCAGCTCTGCATAGGGTCATCAAGAGTACATAATCCCCCAGAGTGTGCAACGCCTGATCCAGCTGTGCATAGGGTCTTGGTCGAGCGTAGTCGGATCTTTGCGTCATAATACCGTACACATCTGACGGGAACCCGGGGAGTCGCGGGTACTCTCTGATCAAAAACAACGGCGCCCTGCCTCGAGACCGGCCTTGCGCTGGTGTGAGGTGTGTACGCATGACATCAGAAGATCCGACTACGCTCGACCAAGACCCTATGCACAGCTGGATCAGGCGTTGCACACTCTGGGGGATTATGTACTCTTGATGACCCTATGCAGAGCTGGATCAGGCGTTGCACACTCTGGGGGATTATGTACTCTTGCTAATAGTCTTTGCTCCCTCGGTGTATGCTGCTAGTCAGCGTGTGTCCTACAGTTCGTTTCAAAAATATAGACGCATGATTTCAAAAAACCGTTAGGCCAGCAGCTATACCACAAAAAATCGTTGATCATTTCGTGGACAAAAATTTCGAAATTAGGCGTTTGCTATCCGATCGCTTAAAAAATCTATGAGAGTATTCGGGGAAGGATCTGAGCAATATTTAATACGAAAAAATTCTCGAAAAGCTCCAGCCAAATTTGAAATATTTCAAAAATACCATGCGTCTATATTTTTGAAATGGACTGTAGTAGATCTACCGGTATATACCAGCCTGCGTGGTTTTACATGGGGCATGAGATTCGAAGTCTGAAGAAAAATAGGAGAATTGAAAAATTTATAACATCCCTATGATTTTTTGCCGTCAGATACGGGATAGCGCCAGGCGTGACACAAACAAACAAACAAACACACAAATACCAAATTAAAGCTGTGTGGACCCTGGCTAGCGCCAAACGTTACTGAAGTAACGTCTTCTGCATAGCTACGGGAATTAAATGCCGGACTAATGTTGATTTGTCCAGCTTTTCAATACACTCTTATGATCCTTGGACGAAATTTACAACCGGATGAACTCCCTTGCTTTTGAGTTGGACGAAATTATTGGCAGACGAAATTTTCTGCCTGTACACTACTGTGATTGCACTCACCCACAGACACCTAGCAACACATTCTCTAATCGAAATGGTTTCTTGGGCCGTTGTCAGTAATCGATCCCACATTGACTGGTCAGCTAGGAACTTGGGACCCAATAGAAAATTAAACAAAGGAGAGAATACGCGGGTTGTGAGCAACACTGACTCACACTCAATCACTGTTTTTCATAAATTCATTTCAGGATTAAAAAAATTCAACGTTTCGGTCATAAAAATAACATCATCAGGAAAAGGAGAGAATAAAAGTTTCAATGTACACATACTGTATTTTCTCAAATAAAAGCGAGGGGGTCATACAGTCAACTTCGCTAATAACGACTGCAGATATAACGACAATTCGCGAATAACGACAGCATTTCCATGCCCAGAGCAAAGTCCTTTCCAACTGTAATACACATAATGAGACTTCGGGTATAACGACACTTCGCGAATAAGGACACTTTTTTGACACCCCGCCGAGTGTCGTTATAAGCGAAGTTCACTGTACCTATTTCAAGGACAGCTCTAGACTGTGGCATACTGCACTGCTGTATACATGTACATACCGGTGTAGTCAATGTACTGCTACACACACTATGCTGCTCAATGAAATCCAGTCGTGTGAGTCCGGTTGGCGCCGTGCACGTTTTCGCAGGCCCGTGTTCGCAGGTCTAGGGCCGGCGCAGCGGCGAAATTCGCCTGGAGTTCCTTGAGCAGCACTGTACACTGTGCATGTACTGCAGTCGTTACGTGCAATGCTATTAGAGACTGGGCTCCTGTCGTTTCTAGCAACCCTTGCCCTCCGTCACTATTAGAGACTGGGCTCCTGTCGTTTCTAGCAACCCTTGCCCTCCGCCACTATTGGAGACTGGGCTCCTGTCGTTTCTAGCAACCCTTGCCCTCCGTCACTATTAGAGACTGGGCTCCTGTCGTTTCTAGCAACCCTTGCCCTCCGTCACTATTAGAGACTGGGCTCCTGTCGTTTCTAGCAACCCTTGCCCTCCGCCACTATTGGAGACTGGGCTCCTGTCGTTTCTAGCAACCCTTGCCCTCCGCCACTATTGGAGACTGGGCTCCTGTCGTTTCTAGCAACCCTTGCCCTCCGTCACTATTGGAGACTGTGCTCCTGTCGTTTCTAGCAACCCTTGCCCTCCGTCACTATTGGAGACTGGGCTATTATTGCAGACCTGGGCTTTTGCTAGAGAAAATACGGTAGCTCTAGGTAAACCAAGTGATGCAGTCATAATACTATGATGGAAAGGTTTGTCCAATACTCACTCAGGCATACGATTACCGTAATTAGCGTAGCTTGTAGTCCCTTGGTCCTTTTTCTTTTCTATATTATTAAAATTTCTGTAATTTCACACATTTTCGGTGTACTTCTATTTTCGGTACTTTCGGTGCATACATGTATGTTTCATGCCTAAAATGTCAATACACCGAACAAACACTAACACACATAATCCAATCGGGAACTGCTTCTCTGTACCTAAAATTTCTGTTCACTAGTGGTGAAACGAATATCAAAACCCAGTAGCCGAATATTCTTTGGCTTAACGAACGAACGAACGAATATTCTTTCGTTAAGACGGATGACATCACATGCCCTCCTCTCAGTCATATTTTTGGACATTGTCTCTATTATTAGGCATGACAAACGAAGGCACATATTTCTCCATCATTTCTCGGTCAATTTTCACAAAATCCCAGCTGAAGAGTGACGTGCATTTCACAGGCTCAAAAACATCTTGAGACGTGATTTTTCGTTCAAGCGCCATAACTCCACTCCAGGACCTCGGATTGCGTTCGGGTTGCTTCTAGATGACTGCTGAGAGTTTTCTAATGCCGATAGACCTTTCGATGAAGCGATTCGGTCAAGCATTCGCGACGTTAAGAAAGTTTGAAGTCGCCGGGTAAACTCTGCATACCGGGTTAACGAATATTCGCCATGAGAAATATTCGTTCGAATGTGCCAAACCGAACGAATATTCGAATATTCGGTATATTCGTTTCACCACTACTGTTCACCTAACCTTGCCTGTTGCCCTCATACCGAAAATATTGAGCACCTAAAATTTCCAAAATTAGAGTAACTATTTATTGATACTCTTGCATTAGTACTCTCTATGTAAACATGTTTCACGCAATCTGAGAATTTGCGCAATTTGCAGATTGCGCTGCTCAATCTGAGAATTTCCAGAATGCGCAGGCATGCTTGCGCAATCTGGCACAGACAGGTTGCCAAAGTCGCCTCCGGAGATCCGTACCCGAGATGGCCCTGGAGACCGCGGAGCTCGGAATCGATTTTTTGGGGCAAAGAGACACATGGATTGATGTGTTTGTGTGTTTTGTTTTGCTTGTGACATGACTTGTGTTTCCTTCCTTTTAGTGTATTGGTACATGGTAGTTGTTTGTTGCTGCCGACTTCTACTAGTAGTGTAGGAATAGAGTAGGACTTGTAGT